TTATATCCAGGGAAACAATTCACACTGAACATGCAGGGAAATGTAACCCACCTGCACAAAAGCATTTTTCTTCCAGAAACATCTCATTGTATTTGATTCTGCTTCTGGATACATACAATGATGATTTAGGATTCTGCTGCATTCTAGCAGAGATGTACTGTTTATCACATCTTATGAGAACACCTTTCAAACACTGTTCATGATGCTATTCTGTTTAGACACATAATAGTGTGTCTAAACAGTTTGGGGCTAGGACATTTTTCTCCCTGAAAGGAATTGTCAGCTAAGTCATGATTTTCTCAGGTGGGGATGTAGTTTTATCACTCTGGCACTGAAGGCTTGCAGAAGAAAAGAATTCGTTGTTTAATTATCATTTGATCACCACTCTCACAAATCTGTGAAAGTCTCCTTTCCTAGGATTGTCATGCTTACCTTAACTAACCTCTTGTTCTGAGTTCTGTTCACCTGGATCTCTACCACAATCACCTGTTTGCCTTCCTGGTGCTCGCCACAGTGCACACATACAAGTCTGGTGATCTGCCTGCTTTTAATTACCTAATTACCTAATAAATGCTGCCGACACACAGATGTACAGTGAAAAGACACTCAAACGCCTTTTCAAATAAAGTTTCAGGAGCACTAATGTGGTTCTTAATAACACAACAACAAAGACTTYAGCATTCTTCTACTCAGCGGTAGARCTTTCTGCAGAATTTGTACTTTAGACTGGTTACACAGATAGACTGCTGAGATAAACAGCATGGGCCCTTGCAAAACAAATCCTAATAGCTCACATTTGCTATGATTTACTGCTATGAGAACACATAAATCAGAAAAGGACCAAAATTACTTCTTGCTTTAGAGGTAGCTGGCTTGCAGTAGCTCTGTGAGAACTCTTGGAGCCATGACAAAATTATGAGCCTTRAGCACAAAGAAAAATGCAAAGTTGTGGGTGAACAACAAACAGTTTTAGACAAATAGCTATTTATCCTCACCCAAAATTTGGAAGACCAAAAATTCTACCTTTCATTGCTGTTCRCCATCTCTGACCTAATTTTTTCTAGTTACTTCTTTCTGCATCCAACACAATCCTCTCCCTAAGACTGGATCAAACAGGGCAATCCCTTTGTTTATCCATTGTGTATTTTAAATGCTGCATGTGTGCCAAGTTCTCTAAACAACCTTCCCTGCAGCGTGTGGCAGAACTGCACATACAGCACCCCTGAACACCAAACAGGGAACAAAAAGGAAGGGATGAGATCAGGGAGTCTCCAGATCAGGCACAAAAACGCTCTATCAGCACCATCAAAGAGCACACATGTAACGTAACAGGTTTAGCAGTTGTTTTACCGGATATCAAATGCCTTGATGTAGGGATTAACACTGGCAACTCGGATGGTGAGGAACTGCACAGGCACGTTGGAGTCTGGGGTGAGTTCATGCTGTCTGGAGTCTGTCACGGTTAAATGAATGTCCTGCTGCTGAGCAACATGTAAACAGTAGGTGGTCACTTTAATAACCCAGGTATCCGTAACGATCACCCTCGCTCCTGGCGCTCCAGTAGCGAATTTGTCGATTCTCCTAAATTCTGTGTTGATGGAAGAAGCTACTGCCCTCCAACCCGAYTGTGGGAGAGCATGGACAGCGAGTGTCCGGGCGAGCGGATGATTATTCCAACCTTTCCGTGACCARTAATATGCCAGGGCACTGGTGATTGCTGGGAGGAGAACAGCAAAGAAGAAAAACGTTTTCCATTCTTTCGAAGCCAGGTAGAAAAAGCAAAGATGTTTTTCAGGTGCAGCAAAGCACATACCGAGGTAATAACCTGCAAGGGAAAAARAGTTACTTTCAGAAAACAATTAAGTACCTGCAAAAACACATAGCCCTGAATGTGGTAGATAACCACATACGGTTATCTAACCAGTGAGTTCACCTCCAGAAGAGGTAGTGTACTTCTGGATGACTTCAAATTCAAGCCTCTTGTCTTAAGCAATCTGAGGGAAATTCTTCAGCATCACAGATTTTTTTACCATGGTTAGTAGCAAAATGAAGCTGATTTGAATTTGCTGTTTGAATAAAATTACCTGTGAAATGMCACTTAGTTTTAGCAGAATTATATGGATAAAGAAGCTGATTAGCATTCTCTGTTTGAATTATATGGTTAAAAGAAGCTGATTGGCATTCTCTGGTTAAATCACARAACATGATGAGTTGGAAGTCCAACATTTAGCCCTGCACAGAACACCCCAAGAGTCACCATGTGCTTGAGAGCCTTGTCCAAACACTCCTTGGGCTCTGTTAGGCTGATGTTGCGACCACTGCTGTGGGCAGCCTGTCCAGTGCCCAAAMACCCTCTGGGGGAAGAACTTTTTCCTGWTAYCCAACCTAAACCTCCCCTGACACAACTTCAGGCCATTCCCTCGGGTGCTGTCACTGTCAMACAGGGCACAGATCAGTGTCTGTCCCTCCTGTGCCCCTCTCGAGGAAGCTGCACCTGCACTGAGGTCTCCCCTCAGTCTCCTCCAGGCTGAACAGACCCAGTGCCCTCAGCTGCTCCTCACACGGCCTCCCCTCAAGGCCCTTCACCATTTTTGTTGCCCTATTTAGACACTAATAGTTTAATGTAATTTTTATACTGCGGTGCCCAAAGCTGCCCCCAGCACTGGAGGTGAGGCCGCCCCAGCCCAGAGCAGAGCGGAACAATGCCCTCCATGCCCTCTGGCGATGCTGTGCCCGATGTCCCCAGGACAGGGATGTCCCCAGGACAGGGATGTCCCTCCTGACTTCCAGGACCCTTCTGACTCACATTCCACTTTCCATCGACCAGGACCCCCCGGTCCCTTTCCGCGGCGCTGCTCTCCAGCCCCTCATTCCCCAGCCTGTACTTAKAAACTGCCACTCCTTTGTGTATGCGTGTGCAGCCGGCTACAAAGCTCGGGGTGCCCATTTCCACAGACACCTGAGCGCTACTCACCCAGGGGCAGCAGCGAGTGCGCCAGCAGCGTGCCGGTGCTGCGCCTCAGGTGGTACTGCACGAAGGCCGCGTCCTCGCTGCCCAGCCAGCCCGACAGCAGGCTCTGCACCGTCAGCCCCGCCGAGCGCACCTCGTCGGGCGGGAACACGAAGCACACGGCGAACACCAGGTAGGCCAGCGTGAAGGTCACCGCGGGGCTCTCCATGCTGCGCCCCGCCGGGCGCCGGGGTGCCCGGGAGCGGTACTTCCCGCCGCGCCCCCGGATGCCCCCGCGGGGAGCGGTACTTCCCGCCGCTCCAGTGGTAATTCCAGCGGTAGTTCCAGCGGTAGTTCCAGCGATAGTTCCAGCGGTAGTTCCCGCGGCAGCCCCGGATGCTCCAGCGGTAGCTCCAGCGGTAGTTCCAGCGGTAATTCCTGCGGCWGCCCCGGATGCTCCAGCGGTAGTTCCCGCCGCACCCCCGGATGCGCGGCGCGGGCGCAGCCGGGCTGCCGGGGCCGCCGGGGCGGGATCCGCCTCCCCTCGCACTGACGGTCCCTCCCCGCCCCTCATCCGTCCCCTCCCCTCATCCGTCCCCTCCTCTCATCCGTCCCCTCCCTCTCTTCATCCCCTCTCCTCCCTCCCCTCTGCCCATCCGCGCCTGCCAGCCCGCGGGCCCCGAGCCGCTCCCCGCTCCAGCCGGGAGCCGCACCTCGCCCGTTCCCCGCTCCCGGCCGGGACACGCAGCCCCTGCCCGTGGCCTCAGCCTTTGTCCGCCTTCCAGGTCATGCTCCACAGGCCTGGCAGGAGGAACCGATTCCAGCTCTTTAAAAGAGCTCTGTTGGACGAGGGCAGCGTCCTTCCAAAGCAGGGAAAATGGCCTGTTTTAAGGATCAAAACCCCCTTTGTTTTCCCTTGTGTATTTTGTGTAATGTTTTCTAATATTTTTTGTAATATTTTCTAAGGATGTAAGATATTAAAATGCCTTAAAGGGAGGTATGTTTTAAGTTATGTTTGTACACACCCAAAYACAGTAAAGGGAGAGGCATGACTGGAATGTCTCGTTATTGTTGAAGTACGAATAATAACTAACAGCTACAATCRCCGTTTTTTACGGAATGTAACAAACCCCTCTGTGCACCCTATTATAACCACAAACTTGCATATTTTTCTCTTTTAGAGAAAGGGGAGATTGTATAACTGGGAAAAGCACGGCTGAGAAAGCATCATGTGATGTTACATGCTACTGCTAATGGGAAACCAAGTCAATAGGAAATGCYACCCATGGAATGTGACATCCTAACGCTGACAGATGGCTGATGTGTTACTGTTGTGATGGAGATCGGGAATTCATCGTGGTTTAGTGACTTTTGAGGATGGTTRCATCAGTAAAATCATGCTTGGATTCTCTGCATCTTATTTCATTCTAAAAGACATCCTTGTTAGCAAGTTTTTTGTTTTAACAACCATTTCATTGTTGCTRKATGGTGACTCAACAGWMAGGACTGTTTCAATGTGCTGAATGGACTGTGAAGTTCAGAAATTAAAAAACAGGTTGTGAAACAGCAAGTTTTCTTTCTGTGATTTTAAGGAAACGATTGTTGAAGCAGAAAACCTGAGACCGTAGAAATCATAGAATCATAGAAACGGTTAGGTTGGAACGGACYTTGAAGCTCATCTCCTTCCAACCCCCCTGCCATGAGCAGGCGCGCCTGCCACTAGCCCAGGCTGCTCAGAGCCTCATCCACCCCGGCTTTAAACATTTCCGGAGATGGGGCAGGCACCGCTGACACGGATTTATTTGGGGACACGGGGGACATTTGTGCMGCCGAACGAGTTTATCCCGGGCGGAGCCGCGCCCTGCACTGTCCGCTCTGCCCCGCGCGGGGGCGCACTCCGCGGGGACCGGGCACGGGGGGAGGGGCGCAACGGCCACGCTCGCGCAGTCCCCGCCCCCTCCCACAGAGCGCTGTTCTGATTGGCGGGCGCGCCCCGAACGCCTCTCTCTGATTGGCGGGCCGGAGCTTCCGTTGGGTTTGAAATCGTGCGGCGGCGGCGGCGGGCCCGTGGCGGGGGGGCTGCAGCGCGCGCCGCCTCAGCCGACCGCTCTCAGGGCTCGTCCCGGGATCTGCCGGCAGGTATGGGGGGTTCGGGAATCCTCCTGGGGGATATGAGCTGGGGRCGGTGTTCAGGGTCCTCTTTGTGAGATTATGGGTGCTGTGGGGCTGGGCTTAGGGGCCCCTCTGTGACCTTGGGGGGAGAAGGGTTGGAGCCGGGGAGAGGCTCAGAGGTTCTGTGGGGCTGGGAAGGGCTGTTCAGGGACCTCTTTGGGAGATTGGGGTGCTGAGGGGGGCTTGGGGCCTGCTCTGTGAGTTTGGGGTGCTGTGGTAGTGGCCTTTAGGGATTCCTTTGTAAGCTTGGTGGACTCAGGGACTTTTCTGTG